AGTGTTTTTAATCTCTCTTTTTTAAATTCATTCAGAAGTTTATCCCTATCTTCCTTTAGTTCTTTGATTTGTTCGTTTGTGTGCTCTTTGAATTCGTTGAATTCCTTGATCATGTTTATGATTGTTCTTTTAAATTCAGTGTCCTGGGTTATCTCTAGAAGTTTTGCACTTCCTTCTTCATTTCTGCCTGAGTTTTCTTCAGTGTTTTTAATCTCTCTTTTTTAAATTCATTCAGAAGTTTATCCCTATCTTCCTTTAGTTCTTTGATTTGTTCGTTTGTGTGCTCTTTGAATTCGTTGAATTCCTTGATCATGTTTATGATTGTTCTTTTAAATTCAGTGTCCTGGGTTATCTCTAGAACCCTTGTAGAACTCTTCTACAGGATTGGTGGGGGGTTTTGGTGGGGCCATAGTGTTTTGGCTTTCCATTTTATTATTCTTTCGTTGTGATTTTGGCATGTGAATTTCTTTTGTTGTTTATGATTCTGTTATGAGAATTAGGTTGAAGTATGCTTCTGTTTGTATTATCTGGGTGCCTAGATTCTTTATTGGTTATGTAAAGCTGGCTGGTACAGGGTTCAGGTTCTCTTGGGTTTATTTTGGAGGGATGGTGGCTTCAAATCAGCTATTCAGGGGTACCCACAGAAGCCCAATTCAGATTCCAGTCAGGTACACTCAGGCTTCCTTCACCACGAGGAGGCAGGATCCAGGCTCTCTCAGGCAGTCCTGTGTGTCATCGACCCTATGCCAGAGGGAGGCCAGAGAGGCCCAGAACTCATCACTCTCTGGTGGTCTGCTGAGCTCCGAGCCACTACCCCAATGGAAGTCCGAACCCACCCTCTCAGGCTGTCTGCTAGGATCTCAGCTTAGCCTACCAAAGCCAGATCTGTCCTGGTGCCTTGGGAGGGGCCTCACAAAATCCTAGGTAGGGGGATGGTATGGCACAATTAGGGGATGCTCACCACCATGTGGAGGCAGGATCTGGGGGCAGTCAGGTAGTCCCCTGGGTTCTCAGGCCCTCTGGTAGTTGGAGACCAGAGGGAGGCCAGAACCTGGCACTCTCTGGCAGTCTGTTGAGCTCCAAGCCGCTACCCGGATGGAGGTCTGAACCCACCCTCTCAGGCTGTCTGTTAGGATCTCTGTGTGAGAGCTCTTGTACATCACCTTACCTGCTGTTTCCAAAAGCAGCGGTTAATAAAATTTTCTGGTGTTGGTATTTTACTTGTATTAGATCAGTTACTTTTTATTGTACCTCCATGATGAAGATATTATACTAACTTTTCAGGTCATGACATAAGTGAAAAGACATAAATATGTTTAACAGAAAATTTGAATTTTGAAAACCACACTTTTAGGAATAAAGTGTAGGGTATTACATGGAAAAGCAAGATACAGGCTAAAAAAGTGAAACATGGTTTAGAATGTGCAATTTCATATCTATCACATTAAGTAATTTAGAGGTTTTTCTCTACTGGAAAAGAACTGGGAAAATTTCTGTCATTTTAAAGATATTTTATTTTCTAAAATTAGAAATATACATGTAATTTAAGATGACATACTATGTAAACTTCTGTATCTTGTTTGTTTTCCTTTTGTTTATTTAATGAATATACCTTGCAAGTAGTACTCATGGCAGCAAATGCACTGTGGAAACAGATGGACTGTAGTCTATTTTGGCTCTTGTTCTTTTGGCCCATCTCCCCTTATGGCTGGTTATCATTCATTTTATACCATACATTATATTTGTACTTTAAGGACATGGTATCATTTCCAGTATTTTTTTTGCAAATGCAAAATGATTTTTTCCAATAACCATTTTGAATGGTTATTCTTATTCATTTTCTATATTTCACATAAATGTATGTATTAAGATATATTCCTAAAAGTAGAATTTCTCAAAGTTGACATGATTTTTAAATTGTGCTAGGCATTACCAGATTGTCTTTCTCATGACTTGTAATAATTTATAGTCCCCTCAGTATATGTGACAATGCCATCTTTAAGTATGCTATTATGTGGCATATTTTATCTTTGAGATGCAGATAGGTTTTAGAAACTTTTTTATTTTAACTGAGGGTAAACTTTTTAATATCTGAACCATTTTACATTGATTTTGCTAAATGCTATACTCAGAAACAGGAAAAATAGAATTGAAGGAGGCAGGTAATTAGTTCAGTTATTGGTACAGCCCAGGTGAGGGGTAGATTATCTAATACAGCATGTGTCACATAGTGTATATTTAATTAGCATCGGATAAATGAATATAGAGCTTAAAGTACTCAGGATGAATGGGATACAACTGTATTGGGTTCCAATTTTTTCACATTGCCAACAAAATTTTATGTGTTGAAAATGTGAACTATACCTTAATAAAAAATTTAAACCACATTAGGATATACACTGGGATTATCATGCCCAAAACAACTGAAAAAAGGTTTAGAGCCCAGGATAAGTATAAATAAAAAGATTTGGGAAGCACTTTAGGAGGTAGTGACAAATACTTACAGAAAAGGAAAGTGTTGTGGAAGACAGGAAGAATTTCAGTGAATGTTAAATGTGGGAAAGTAGTCAATTACTTTTCCATGACAAAGTGATTGATTAGTAACAGTGATAAATTTCATGAGTCCAAAACCAGACAAAGCTGGAAGAATATTTTGAAAGTGAAAGTGAACCTGTTGATATAGAACGCTCTTTTAACTTTTTATTTTTATGAGTATGAGCGTATTACTTGCATGTATGTAAGTGTACCCATGTCGTGCAATGCCCGTGGAGGTCAGAAGGTGTCAGATCTCATGGAACTGGAGTTACAGATGGTTGTTAGTTGCCATATGGGTGCTGGGAACAGAACCTGGGTCTTCTGCAAGAGCAGCCAGTGCTCTTAATTGCTGAGCCATTTCTCTGGGCCCTTAACATTTTATTTTGAGTATAGCTGATATGTGAGAAACGAAGTTGGGTCTGGTGGCACAGACCTGTAATCCCAGCTTTCTGAGTGCTTAAGGCAGGAGAAACACAAGTTCAAGACCAGCCTAGTCTACAGAGTGAGACCTTGTTTCAAAGTAAAAAGCAAAAACAGAGATAAGCATGTATTTTAGTGGTAGAGTGTATTTTAGTGGTAGAGTGACCCAGGACCCACCTAGACTACTTTCAACCTTGATTAGAGAAGCTTCTTTCTGTAGTTGGGCAGCAGTCAGTGCAGACACACAACTGGTCAAAAGTGCTGAGAGGAGACTGAGTGCTCAGGCCTCAATGGGACATCTTTATCAATCCCAGCCTCCTGCCAAGGCTCAGCGAATGCAGAGGAAGAGGAAACAGAAAGAATGTAAGAGTGCCACGAAAATGCTGTTTTCTAGATGTGACATGGTTATGGTTATTACACTCATGAACTCATATGAGCTATGGTTACCTATACAAGACCCACGCAAGATCAAGCAAGTCAGAATTCCCCACATAGATGGGGAGGATCACTGGACCTCACCCCTTACTGAGGAGTTATTGGCTGTTAATAGCTGCTGGGGGAGGGAGAATCATTTTTCTTCTTTGAAGGTGTGGCTACTGGTAGGTGTGGATAGTCCCATACCCATGCACATATGGGCAGTGCTAACTGGACTTAATGGATGTGCTGGTTGTTTTTGTCAACTTGACACAAACTAGAGTCACCTAGGAAGAGGGAACCTCAATTGAGAAATTTTCTCTATCAGATTGGCCTGTGGCCATGTCTGTGGGGCATTTTCTTGATTGCTAATTGATGTAGAAGGGCCATACCTTCTGTGGGTGGTACCATACCTGGGCTGGTCGGCCTTGGGCAGTATATCAAAAGTATCTGAGCAAGCCTGGGGAATCAACCCAGAAAGCAGCATTCCTCTGTGGTTTCTTCTTCAGTTCCCACATCTAGGTTCCTGCCTTGGCTTCCCTGGATGATGGTCTGTGATGAGGAAGTAGAAGCCAAATAAATGCTTTCCTCCTCCAAATTGGACTATGATAAAACACTGATCAAAACCATATATATAAACTGGACTTAGTGGGTTATCAAAAAGAGCAAACATGAACCTGGGAGGGGGCATGTTATAAAGGACACAGTGGGAAGGAATGAAGGGTGGATGTGATCATATTTCATTGTATGCATGTATGAAATTCTAAAAGAATATATACAATAAAATAGATGGGGAAGGGTTTTGTTCTTGATTAATTTGGCACTCTTGGAATTATTGTATATATTTAGGTGGTTTTCAGATTTGTTTGAGCACAATAAAAGC